CCCTCAAGTACGGCTGCTTCACATACACTGCCTTCACTCGTGTGTCCAAAGGTACAAGACCCAGCCCACCCTGCCGCACGCCCATCACCACCACCTCCTTCCATAGCCATGGCTTCCCATAACCCCACACATACCTCAAAACCACCCTCTCCAGTTCCTGAATATCACACGACCTCAGGGGATATATTTCTGCCACGCCCCACACTTTACTGTACACAAGTGTATTTACTACCCCCACCCTCTGCTGCTATGTTACATCCCCAGCCCTCCACCCGCGCATCCTACCCATCGCTCTACTCACTACTTCCTTGGAATTTATTCTCGTGCCTCCCCAGCGTCCCGCCATATACACAACCCCACATATCTTAATTATATCCACTACGTTCCACCCATACTGCTCCCCCAACCCCCCCAACCCCCCACCCACGTGCCTACTTCTAATAACTGACTTTGCTCCATTAACCCTCATCCCTGTCGCCCCACCAAAAATCTCTATTATACGTCCCACATTTCCCAATCCTACTTCCCCTCCTACCAAAACTGGTGTCATCCACATACCCCACAATACCACATCTCCCAGGACCCACCTCTCCCTGTTCCCACACTCCCTCTATAAGCCTATAAAAAGGGTCCTGCATGCATGCAAAGGATTTGAGACAAGGGGCAACCCTGTCGCACACCCATCCCCATCTGCACCAGCAACCCTAACTTCCCATTAACCTGTACCCTGACCGTTGCAGGCGTATACAAAGTAGTCGCCCAGTGCACAATCTCATCACCAAAACCCTGTTTTTTTTAAAATACACCACAACATATGTCTATCTACACTGTCATAAGCCTGCTTCCAATCAATCCCCAAGATCCCCCCCCCCATTGTCTACCCTCCACAAAATCCTTAATTCTTCCATGCCCCTCACACATACTTCGACCTGGAATCCCACACTGTCCTCTATGTAGGACTCGGTCAAGCACCTTTTTCACACTTACCTAAAACCTTCGCAAAATCTTTATAATCTGCACACATGAGGGAGATCGCCCTAAAATCACCCAAGGTCTTCCCCCCCCCTCCCTTATAGACCAAAACTACTACCCTCGTGCCCTGCTATTCCCCCAACACTCCCCTTTCCTTCATACAGTTAAACAACCCGACCAGACATTCCTTCATACAATCCCAATGTGTAATATAGAAATCATTAGGAATTCCATCAATGCCCGGCACTTTTTCCCTACTCAAGCCCATTATCGCCTCCTCCACCTCCACCTCCTCACTGATCCTACCCTCTATTACCGCACTCCTCCTCCTCCCCTAAAATACCTCGAATTCCTTCTCCCAGAATACCTCTATATCTCTCTCTCTATACCTCCATCCCTCTATATCTCCCTCCATCCCTCTATACTCTCCCTCCATCCCTCCATCCCTCCATCCCTCCATCCCTCCAACCTCCCATCCCTCCATCCCTCCATCCCTCCATCCCTCCATCCCTCCATCCCTCCATCCCTCCATCCCTCCATCCCTCCATCCCTCCATCCCTCCACCCTCCCATCCCTCCATCCCTTCCATCCCTCCATCCCTCCATCCCTCCATCCCTCCATCCCTCCATCCCTCCATCCCTCCGCTTAAAATTCTCCCTGAACCAATAATCAGCATAATTGCTCATTCCATCGGTGGTACCAAGTACCTGCCCCACCCATAAATCCCCCCCACCTTTAACACCTCTAATCCCATAATCGTGGTCATCTGTTGCCTATTCCTAAATCTCCTCAAAACACATCCTGACGGTTTGTCACCCCATAGAACCTCCTCTAAACCTTCCCTCACACGTATTGCATCAAAACGATAATTTTGTATATCCCTCAATCTTCCCCTTGAAACCTATTTCTCCATGTCTAGCCCCCCCCTCCCCCTTCATAACAATCATTTAGCTGCCCCTCTAAGTATTTCTGTAAACCATACCTCCACCTCTCCTCATCCCTTCCTCTATGCTGGCAATACTCCCTAATCTGCAATTAAGCGTGCTTCTCCCACCATTCCAAGACATCCTCCTCTTCGTTGCGAGCCTCCCATAGTTGCTTCCACCATTCACTAAAAAAACCCCTCTCCCTGAAGTAGCCTCGCATTCATTTTCCAGTAACCCACATACCTACGAACCATCCCTTCCCATGCCATCTCTGCCAAAACTGCACGATGGTCCGAAAAACCTAAATCTATCGTCATTACACGTTCTACTGTAATATCTCGAGTTATATATACGATCCAACCTGGCAGCATAACCCCTCCGCATAAACGTGTGCTCTACTTTCCACCCATCGCCCCTGACTGTCAAACCCCTGCATCCCTCAACAAATCCCTCAATACTCCAAGTACACACCCTGCCCCTCTCGGCTCCACATACTTATTCCTGATTACACAATTCCAATCCCCACCTATTATAGAAACCATTGGTAAACCCCGCATGTAGAAAAGCAAAACCTCCCTTACAAAATTCACCTTTACCCGTATGTTACTATCTGCCGGCATATATATCCCCAGAAAACATGCTCTAATCTCACCCCATATCCCCTCCACCCTCACCACCCTCCCCTCCCCTCCCTCTTCCCACTTTAGCACGTGGAATGGGCTGGACTCCCTCACTGCCACCCCACCCTTTAATTTCCCTGAACTACCAACATACATCCTAAAACCGTTCAGCCTCAACTCTGCCATACTTGAAATTGTGTTCTTGAATAAAAGGCACATCAATGTTAAAACGCCGCAAAACATCCTCCAACCATACTCTTTTACCGTCAGCTCTTAGGCCATTCACGTTTATCGTTAGACACTTAAAGATTCAGAAAGGGTGGCTTTCCTCTATGTCTGTCCTTTCTGTTCCACTTTTTGCTGCTTCTGTCTTTTTCTGTGCACTCTTTCCCGCCTGGACCCCCTCCCCCCCCCTGTGCACTACCCTGCCCCTTCTTAATCACTCCCGCCCACGTCTTCTTCCCTGAACGCTGAGCTGGTGTTATAACAACCTCATCCGACGAGCCTCCAGCCCTCTTTCTAGATGTACCCTCAATTTCCATATCAGTATTTCCATTCCCCTTGTGCACCTCGGCTTCCACCTATAGCAACTGCAACATGCCAAGCTCTGACCCTAGAGGCCCTGGAATCTGCTCAATCAAGTCCTCCTCATCCATCAGAATTCTCCTGTCTATAGATGGGTTCTCCTCCGCAGGCACGTCCAGGAAAGAATCATCTCCTGTAGGGGCGTAGATAACTCCTGTGGATCACCGGTCTCTCCCACCCCCACAGGCTGCCGCTCAACTCCCGGGCCCGTTTGCGGGGGAGCATCCGAAGCCACTGGTAGCGTCACACAATTCTCTAACACGCCCTCCACTTCGTCCGCCCAATTACCTTTGCCTGCTGCACTCAGTCTTCGGCAGAGGTGCCGCCTGAGGCTCTGACTACTTGCCGTTCCCAAGGCCGAGGCGCTGCTGCTTTACCACATCCAGCAGCCATGTGGTCAAAAGCGCCGCACAGGCGACACGTCTTGCGTTGTCCCGCGTAGGTCACATACATCTGTGTCCTAAAATCCTCCAGGACAACATACGATGGAATAGGTCTTCTTAAAGACATCTTGACTGTGTAAGACCCAGCCGGCAATCCTTCATAGATTCCCTCCGTCCATCGAACTAAAGTTATAGCATGCACCTCACCATATCTTTGAAATGTCTCTGATATCCACATCGTCTGCCTCGAAAGGAACGTTGCGGATCCTCACCCAGGTGTAGTATTTTGAGGCATCCCGCAGGCGTACCTCCAGACCAGATGATACGGTGATGTTCTTCTGGTACTGAGTCACCGTCCTTTCATATGTCTCCACTGTGCAAAACTATGAAGATTCGTGATGAGCCATTAAGTGCTATTCCGTGTAATTCTTCAATTTCAATGCCATACGTGTCCCGTATAATCGTTGGTAATAAAACAGGCATTCGTAGGGTAGATTGCCCCTTTAACAAGGTCAACACACACGGTGTTGCTCCTCCTGCGGTAGCTGGCAGCTATCTTGGTGAAAACAGGAAGTTGCGCACCAGAGAAAGCAGGAGCTGTTTGTGCAGTGCGTCCACTCAGCCCGAAAGCGAAGAGGACAATGTACAATTAAGTTACAGGTCTGGTAGGCCCAAGACCACTATATACATGACCCATCAAGTACTTTCATTAAATTTAAAGTATGCTAGAAGCAACCAAGCCACTGCATTTTCTTTTATAGCAACTATCACTAAATCACATTCTTGCGAGTTGGTGTGTCCCAACCATCTAGTTATTGCCATTATAGGAATTTTAATTTATAAAACTAACCCTTTTGTTATTCAACATTAATAATGTTCAAAAATTAATGAACTTTGCAACTGCCATGAAATTCAAACTTTTCATCAATATTCCACAACGTTCATAAATGTTCGGGAGAGATGTCCTAACTATTTACCCACAACTGTGCTGGGTCTCCAGGCAGGAACCACTCAGTGAAGAGGCTCCCTAACCAAACTAAATTTAAATTTAGCCTACCAGCATCTGTGTGGCCAATAGGAAAGGTAGACCACAGGATGGACAAATGCTGGTTCATGGTAAATCAGCATATTGGTGAACAGATCAAATTAATCATGGTAAGCAGCAAAAAGTTTAGGTCTCTGCAGTGAACAGACTGTCTTAATGATTACCACCCATCCTCGAAGTAAATACAGCAATCTTAAGTACTAAATCATGCTCCAAGAAATTAACCAGTTTTATTTAGTTATACACTGCAACTGCCGTCAAGGACGTACCTCAGGCAGTGTTCAGTGAAGGCAATGGAGAAGATACAACAATCCAGGAGCACCAGATCCAAAAAGCACAGAAAACCTTGCAAGAGTCAAATGGACAGACGTAAGTGTTGTCAGGTGTACACATACGAAGTACATCCATAACGCCTTACAAAAGTCCCAAGAGAATGAAGTGACAACTAAAGACTTTTCTAGTGACTCACCGTGTGCTGGAAGTGTGGAGAGTAGGAATGTTTGTGTGAAGCATCTGTCAGCGTGATGGCTACAGCAACCAGCAGCCAAATATACATGGCTCCTGGCCCTTTAGTGGGGGCCATCAGGCAATCTGTAAAAAAAATTGAATTTAAGTATATTCAGAAGCACTAAACCAACATGGTCAGTACAGTACCTGGGGGAAAAGGGTTTAAGGAAGCCTAGCCAACTTTTAATTGCATCAAGGAAGCTTGGAAGCATAAAGGCAGATTCTGTATGTAATCTAAGCACAGGCCACAAGGAAATGAATAACAAAAAATATTTTTACAAGTTGTTTTAAATTGGCAGATGAAAAGATTTAGAGATTACAACTGGTACATGGGGATATTTAAAATACTAAAACATTGTACTTTGAACATGTAGAGTAACAAGGTAATTAACCTCAGCGAGGCATCAGGTACACTTACAATTAACAAACATTTGAAGCTAAATATACAAATTGATGCAATATAGGTACGGAGACCCTGACGACAGGTTTCCACTGACGTCAGGTACGTGGCATGCAGAAATGAAAACTGCATTACAATAAAAATTTTAACTAATGTATTAATATTTAATTTTGGAAATTCATGTTAAGTTATTTGAAACAATGTCAAGAATTAACTAAATTAACTTCAGCAATATTTAGTATGAAGAGAACTGAACCTTGGTATCAAGAAAAAAAAATACGCTGATTTTATTTTAAATCATTACCCACACCCAATGTTCCTACCCTTGCCAGGAATCAAACCCGGACACTCACTGAAGAGTCACCAGGCCACGGGAACAGAGCCCCCCCCCCCAAGTACCCAGGTAATCTTAACCAGGACTAGACAAATACTCTGGAAGTGGGTAAAAGTTGTTTGACCCACCACACCCCTCTGTATTCTAGTGTTTTGACTCCAGCTACCACTGCAAAAGCATTTTTAATCCACCGAGGGCCTTCCCACAGAAATAATTCATCAGCCACGACCTACAAACCGAGTAGTCATTTCAAGGCCTTTCAACTGACCAAGGGGCCCCAAAGGAGTTAATCCCGGCAGGAAGCAGATGGGTTACCATATGCAAAGACCCTCTCGTCACTTTCTTTCATCAGTCCACTCCCTAGCAGGGAGAGCCCGTGGGGCTCCAGTCCCTGGAGGACTTCACCAAAAGAGCCTTCACCCTCCTCGCCAACCTCCGATCATGACCTTAAGTAGTCATAAGATTGCAAACTAATCAGGGAACGGGTGGGGGCTTTAACCCATGGCAAAAGTATTAAAGTCAGTGCGTTAACCCCTCGGTCAGCTGGCCCTACGTAGGCTAAATCTTTTTAGAGCCAGCTGACAGTGATAACACACCACTGGCCTGATCGTGTCAAGACTCAAATGCCATGGGTTCAAGCCACCACCCGTTAGCTGATTTCTGATCATACCTTAGATGCTAACATAAGCAGGCATAGTCAGTGGCCGTCTGGACAGGCGAGGCTATCAGTGAAGTTCCTGAAGAGAGCATCATTGTTCCATAGGCAGGGAAAGAACGTAGCTTCAAAGACTCAAGGCAGCGAGGGCCCTGCGACTATTTGCAATAGCCACACCCAAGATGCACGATGGCCTCTGCAAAACCAGTCTCCTCAAACATGGCACAGTGCTTTCCTTTTGGGGCACCTTAAGTCTTAGGAACCTCATAGTTGGGAAGAGATTATTACAGGAGTGGGTAGTCGTTTGAATCCACGTACAACTAGTCCGGCACTTTCATTTAGTATAGTGGCCGAATTTCTGGGACTGAGTTTATTGTATGGGAAAAGTTTAACAACCATTTCTCCCCAGAGAAGAGATGTTGATTGGAGGAGTATTGGTTTATGTGAAGAAATTTTAGTGTTCACCAAACCACTATCTGCCTTCCTCTTACCCACAACCACTCAGGATTCAGAACTCAATGTTCTCACTCGTGCTCAACCATCCAATGGAAAAATTAAAAATTGTTAAAAACCATTTATAAGCACAATCTTCATTGGGTCACTAATATTCAGGAGGCTAACCTGCAAGACCACACCATTAGTCACTCCTTGAACTGCAGGTAACCTCTGGTAACACTTCTTCCCAAATAACCACTTTATGGTTCATACGATGTACCACCCACCATCTGTTCCACTGACAGTGGAGAATGACAAGAGTGGGGGCACAAGGAGTTTGTCATGCATCTATAATAGACATAAAACGACTGAGGAAAAATATCTTCTGATGCCAAATAAAGCCGGTTAAACCTCACCACTGAGATAACCTACTGTGAGCAGCGGTGGACTGGCGCAGTACCGGGTAATGGGAGGATGAGAGGTATCAATACTTGAGGCACTAGCGAGAGCAAAGTTAATTTACTTCACTAACTATAGCAGGAAGATATTAAGGGGCCTAAATTTTAGTTCCTCCTGATGAAACTTGCCTGTAACCTGCAATATTTCAGTTACACAACATCAATTTTAACACTGTATACCGAGGTAGGAAATAAATACACGACGAACAATGATCTATATTAATTCTTATTTTCTCTGTGTGCAGGGCGGACAAGTATCCCCAGTAAACTGAAGAATTTTATGTTCAAAACAGATTTAAGTCTTTGAAACAAAAGGAAGAGTTGAACAGAGGGGAGTGTCGACAGTCTCTGGGGGGGGGGGGGTCTAGTGACCGTGGTGCCGAGCCATTTACTGGATTATTCTGCATCTCACCTTTTAGATCTTTGTAGTTTTACACTTGGTCAAGTTAAGAAATTACCGTTTGAGGGGGACGAGGACATGCGAGCAACGTTTGAAAAGTATGGTGTAATATAACTAGCAATACTTGGAAGGGGGTCTGAGGGTATGTACGCTGGCCTCCATGATGGCTCCTTTAATCTTAATGTCTTTGTGCAAATCCATACAGTCATGTGTGGTATGGAGCGACTTTAGGACTCTGGCATATGTAACATGTGTGGGCCCGAGACTAAAATGTCGATTGTGTGGAGCATATGAACATACGACTGCAGTGTCCTCGAAGATCAGCACCCGATACTAATGGAGCTGAGCAAGGAGTGGCAAAGGATAGAGAAGTGACGACCAAGACTTTAGGAGAGCATCATGGGGTTCGTAAGCCATGGAGTGAAATAGTGGAGGAAAATCCCGAAGTGTGCGTAATGTTACCGGTGTCGTCTTGGGTAATTGAGACCATGAGAATGGAGGAAGAGGTGGGTCCAGAGGAATTGTGTAATGGCGTGTCGACTGCTATGCACTGTTACAAGACTTACTGGTTGATCATAACGAGGAAAGTTCTCTCAGTATGGGAAAGGATGGGGAACCTGGAAAAGGGTAGGGTTCACGAGGTAGGTAATGCGGGTGGTAGGGATGAGCAACCTCAGTGTTTGAGGCAGAGGTTGAGGTGCACAGGTAAGGAGGTGAAGGCGAGGACATGCAAATAGTTGAAGCATCTCGCAAGAGGGGCTGATGCTTCTGATAGTGATGTCACTACACCTGCCCAGAAACACTTGGTGGATGCGCCAAGAAAAGTCTCGAGGGGAAGGGGGGTAAGGCGAGGTTAGGAAAGGGAAAAAGTGATAAGTATAGTTTGCAGAAGCGTAAAGAAACGCGAGGATACATGACAACAGATATTTTTGCGGAGATATAGCAAACAGGTAATATTTCTAGAGGAGCATAATTTTAAGTATGGAAGAGATTTGTTGGTGGATGGGTATAAAGTATATGCAGGGTATACTGGGAAGATTAAGGGAGGTGCAGCTGTATTAATAGAGGCCAGTCATTTTCGAATGTTACATTGGGAAGAAGGAAAGGGGTAGGGGGATGGGAGAGGAGCAAAGGTGGATGGGACATGGGGTGGGGTACGAGTTTTGCGAGTATATATGCCAGGGAATAACAGGCATGTAAAAGATTTTGTTTGGGAACCTTAACTTACCACATGCAGGGGTTGCCTGTTTATTCATTGTCAGGTGTAGAATGGAATAGCGAGATTCGTAGGAGGTGGAGCCGAGGGTGCAGGGTGTGTTAGGGGTTTTGCAGGATGTTTTAGGGAGAGCTGGATTGGTGGGTCTTTTGCGGGGGAGGGGTGGAAAGTGGAGCACTTGTGTTGAGGGGATATGTGGCAAGATTAGATCGTACGTGCGGTTCTCTGGGGATATCTGTTGCTAACTCGGAAGTTACAGACGTCATATTTCCAGAGCATAAGAGGGGTGGTGGCAGGTGTGGGGTGGGGTGGTTTACAAGGAGTTATCCAAGTTATTAAAAACTTAATGCGAGCTTGTTAGAGGGATCGGTGGAAGGTGACAGTCGAGTGGTGGAAGAATGAGTGGTCTAATGGGAGGAAGAGGAGTGATATACTCCTATGGTGGGAGAAGTATGCTAAGCCTGGAACATGGTTTTTATACGAGGAAGGGAAGGGAGATAACTAAATAGAAATATTGGTTGCAGAGATATTTGGAAGGGCACTTGAAGTGTTATGAGGGTGTTGGCGAGGTATATCCGGTAAATGTGATCGAGAGAATAAAAGTGCAACTGCTGGAAATGCAGAATGCAAGGTTTGATGTTGAAAGGGCGAGAGGTGGGTTGGACGACGTTATGGGGAAAAAAAGCCATTGGCATGTGAACCGAGGCATTAAGGCTATGGCAAAGGATAATGACCATGAAGTTGGAAGTACATAAGGATGTGGGAGGGTACAAGATGGGACAAAGGTTAGATACAACGGAAGGTACGAGTGATTTTGCTGGTAAGTGGTTTGGGATCTATGAGACTGAGAAAGATGTAGGATCTGAAGATTTTAGAGGGGATACAGAGGACCCTAGGGTCGGAAGATAGCGCAGTAATGGAGAGGTCCATAGAGGAAGAGGAAGTATGGATGGCGTTTAAAGGGAACTAGTGTAGGGAAAATACCTGGCAATGTGGAATACCAAATTATTTTTATTTGAAAAAATGGGGAAATTTTGAAAGGAATTCTTGATGCAATTTTCTAAACGAGATGAAGGATAAGGGATGTGCGAGTATGACGCAAAGAACAGGGGCAGTCCTGGTACCGAAGGGGGAGGTACAGAGTAGCATACTGGATTATAAAGTCATTAATGTTTGGGGATTATAAT